ATTAACATTGATATTATGTCAGAATATGATTATACCGATGATTATTTAAACAAATTAAATGAACTTGGATATTTTTCTTTGATAAATGTTCACACTAGAATATTTAATAACTCAAAATCTTGTTTGGATCATATTTTTGTAAAAAATATAGATCAATCACAATGCAAGTTTTATGTCGTAACATCAGATGTTACTGATCATTTCGCGACAATCGCTATGTTAAAAACTGATGTAAAATATGATAAAGTAAATGAAATACCTATTAAAAAATTATGTGAAGATAAGTTAATCGAAAGTTTAAAAAAAGAAAAATTTTGTCAATTACTTGAAACTAGCGACATCAACAAGAAAGCAGAATATTTTATAAACACACTACAAAAACATATAGATAAAGCCACCATTATGTACAAAGTAAAAAACAAAAAACCAACTAAAAGGCATCCATGGATGACAAATGGTATTGCAATATCGATAAAAATAAAACAAACATTATATTATAATTTACTCAACAACCCCGGTAACATCGAAATCGACATCGCGTATAAAAGGTACAGAGCACAAGTCCGATCGCTTATAAAAAGAGCTAAAACTAATTATTTTCAAGACCAAATAAAAATTAAAAAAGATAGTAAAACCATATGGAAGGTAATTAATGACTTTACAAATAAAAAAAATGAAAAAAATGATGGGAATCAACTACTTGAAATTAAGGTAAATGGCCAAACAATAAATGATGAAAAAGAAATGGCAAATTATTTTAATGAACACTATTCAGAAATAGGCAAAAAAATGGCAAAGCTGCTATCGACATCTGGCAACAATATAAAACGTGTCATTCACAAAAATTCTATTTTTCTAAAGCCAACAAATAATATGGAGATAAAAACCTGCATAAGGGAGCTAAAAAACAATAAAGCTCCTGGTCTTGATCAAATAGGAACCAATGTACTGAAGTTAATTTCAAATTATATCAGCGAGCCGTTGACGCATATTATAAACAAAATTATCGAAACAGGAACGTTTCCAACATGTTTTAAAGCAGGCGTAATCAAACCGCTTTATAAAAAAGGAAATAGAAAACAAATAATTAACTACAGGCCTATTACTTTGATTTCAAGCGTAACAAAAATTGTTGAAAAAGTTTTAAAAAACAGGATTGTTGACTTCTTGGAAAAAAATAAATTAATTTCTGATAAACAATATGGTTTCAGAAAGGGAGTTTCGACGGAAAACGCTATTATACATTTAACCAATAACATATATAAATCACTAGATGAAAATAAGGCAGTACTTTGTGTTTTCCTTGATTTAGCGAAAGCGTTCGATACTGTCGAACATTCCATATTACTAACGATATTGGAAGATTATGGATTTAGAGGCATAGCATTAAAGTTATTAAAAAGCTACCTTACCGACCGTAACCAGATTGTTAAAATAAATAATACAGTAAGTGAGCCAAGACAAGTAAAATTCGGCGTACCTCAAGGGACTGTTCTTGGCCCAGTACTTTTTTTAATATATATTAATAATCTGCTAACTAATGTTTCAAGAGGTCGCATCTTATCATTCGCAGACGATACAGTTATAATGTACGAAGCCGAGAGAGGAGAGCATTTAAAAGAACTCGTGGAAGAAGATCATAAACATGTTAAAAATTGGTTTGATGAGATGAAATTAACAATAAATATTGAAAAAACAAAATTTATATCGTTTAGTTGCAATAACACTAAGCAACCGGATTTTCATACTTTAAATATGGGTAATAAAAACTCTCCGATGGAAATACAGGAAACCGATCATATTCGTTATTTGGGCATTGAAATAGATAAATTCTTAAGATGGGATTTCCATATAAATTTTGTGACAAAAAAAATCAGATCCTTACTGTACCGTTTCAAGCAACTAAAGAAAATCTTAAATATGCAACAGCTAAAATTAGTATATACGGCTTTAGTCGAGAGTCACATTCAATACGGAATATCTGGGTGGGGAGGCGCTTATAAAACTCATTTAAAGCAGCTAGAAGTAGTACAAAAAATATTCTTAAAAATATTAATGAGCAAGAATAGAATGTACCCCACTAATGCCATATATGAAGAGTCCAATACCTTTGATATTCGCCAACTCTATGCCCTCAAAATACTAAAAATACAGCATGAAAATAAAATTGAATTAAAAAATATTACGCATACGTACCATACAAGACATAAACAAAATGCACAATATGCAACATATAAAGCAAACAAAAAAATAGGTCAAAGAGCATTTTATTCTATGGCTCCGCGATTATATTCCAATATTCCAGAAATTTTAAAAGGCATTTCAAATTATTATAGATTTAAAAGAGAAATAAAAAAATGGCTTTCGACAAATCCAAGAGTATTTATTCATAATTTAATAGATTTTGATTAAAAAAAAAATGTACAAATAAATTAAAAATAATATAAATTACTAAAAAATTGAATAAATAATTAATAATAAAAAAAAAATATAACAAATATATAAAATAAATAAAAACTAAATGTGCTTTGTAGACTTAATGTAATCCAATTTAATTGAATTGAAATGAACTCAAATTTGTATGATCCATTTTGTAGGTTTATTATTATTATTATTAGTATTTTTATTATTATTATTATTATTATTATTATTATTAATTATTATTATTATTATTATTATTATTATTATTATTATTATTATTATTATTATTATTATTAGTATTATTATTATTATTATTATTATTATTATTATTATTATTATTATTATTATTATTATTATTATTATTATTATTATTATTATTATTATTATTATTATTATTATTATTATTATTATTATTATTATTATTATTGTAAAGCAGGTTGAGAAAAATTTGTTAATTTATGTGAAAACTAAAGAAGGTGTGTTTATGTTAATTTTAAATTTTTATGTAGGTTATTTCACTAAGAACTATTTAATGCAGTTAGCCATAAATAGGCAAATAAATAAATAACGTACTACCACGCACGAGGCAGGTCTCTCTGCCTTCTGTGGTATACCCTCCATTTATTTCCTTTGTAAAAGTGAAAAATGAAACTGTATTTGATTTTGTATTTTGTATTGGGAAATAAATATTATTATTATTATTATTATTATTATTATTATTACTTTCGGAATTTTAGAGTTAAGTACACTTTCGTCTCCAAAATAGTTCAACTAATATACGACATAAACAAGACAAGTGTAAGTTTATATTCATGATAAACAGATGGTTAATAAATACCTAACTCCATATTAATACATTCACAATATGCACAAACAAAATAAGTGGCATATATACAGCAATATAATCATAACGTTGTGTTCAATTGCTAATAGTGTGTCTACCAAAATGTATTTAGTCCGATTTCTAATACGAGTAGTGTTTCTGCCAAAACACTTATTTTTGTTGAATGTATTTTTTGAAATACTTCAAAATTTTGCCCAAGGCATTTGTTTTGTCTAGAGCCGTCTTTGGCTTTTCTCGATTGGTCTGATATCGACAAGGTGATTACGTCACCCTTTCTTTCCACGAGCAGCTACCTTCAATAATCAATAGGTGATAACACGTGATGCTCGAATTCCCGTGGTAAATGATTGATTGGTCAAGCTGTAACGAGTGATTGGTCAACGAGCGGGGATGGTGACGCTCATCTCCATATTGTTTGCGCGTTAAAACGACTAGAAGCACTTCTTGAAGCACCGAAACAACACCGAAACACGAGATTTTCGCATTGCTTGAAAAATCCTAGTTATACTGTCAAAGTGATGGCAAAAAGAGTGAAAAAAAGGTCTGAAAATACTTACAAAAAAGTGCATGACATTAGTAGATAATGCCAAAAAGTAAGATTTACTAAAACTTTGCAAATCAGGTACTACACCTGATGAATTTCACCATTATTATCAGAATCTACCTGTATCCAATAATGTTAAAGACACAGTACCTGAACCTTCCATGGAAGATAGTGACACATACATTGAATGTTATGACCTGCACAGTACACAGGGATTCTTCTGTTTGAACTCGACACGATAAGAATTGCAGTCTGTCGAACGAGGAAAGGCGTCTTGATACGTGTATTGAAAGATGAGAATCCCACGGCTGTATAAAGACAGCTAAAATAAGCTAAGTGACGTTTTTTCTCTTTTTTTTTGTTACCAATCGATTTATTCTTAGTTTATATTTTGTGAAGACTAATTATGTTTTGAATACCTTTTTTTTTTCATTCGAATTATTGTTTATTAAACAATTTCAAGCCTTTACTGATTTTTTATTCAATTTTAAACTTTTGAAAAGCGTTTTCTCGAAACTTGCAGTAACTCGACAAGATATATTTATGTTTTGTGTTTTATTTATTAGAGGTTCCCACTAACTAATTTTAAATGGATGGCCTACATAAAGGGTCATCATCCAAAAATATTGCGGCCCGAGTAACATAGCAAACATACGTATGTGGCCCAAAGTAAAAAAAGGTTGAGTATGGCTGATATAGATGGATTAGCCGGTATTCAACTCTTTAATGAAATAACTTTACTCAAAGATATTTTTCTAGCTAAAAAACACTAAATGATATCTTCCCCGTTTGCCAAATTTTACTCTAGCATTAAGAATTTTTTTAACCTTACCTGTTTCTGTGGCTTTCGGTGAAGAAAGTTTTAGTGAATTAAAAATTATTAAAAATTACCTGAGAAATAATATGACACAAGAAATACTTCCAGATTTGGCTATCATTTCTATTGAATTTCACCGAAATTATTAACAAATTTGATTCTCAGAAAGCCAGAATAGTTATTTATGCAACTAGTTACAAAATGTCTTATTTTATGTAACGAGTGAATATTTTCGGGACGAGCAGAGCGAGGTCCCGCAACATTTTGGAAAAAGTTTTAAAAACGTAAATACGAAAGCATTTACGTCTATCAGTGTACATTTCATCGCCTCGGTTGGCAAGTACCACCTCGAAATCTCGTAGTAGTACAGCCGTTGTCTGACTTTCATTCTTGTACAGCTCTCAGATGCGAGCGCGAGCACTGTGCTTCGAAATTCGGTCGAAGATGGCATGAAAGTTTTTCGTATGTTCACGGCCTGACATGATCCGTTGTTTTTTCGCGTTCTGACCTAATAAATGTGTTCCTTGACTGTCAAAAAATGTGTTCCATGAAATATTCACGCCAAAGGCATAGGTTTAGTGTAGTGTTAGTTTGTTTATTGGGATTTACCGCTAGATCTTCGTCTCAAGGTAATTTGCAGATATATAAGTACCCTTTCATTTTTCTCTACAAAGATTCTTTTTGATTAATTATAATAATTGGTTTGAATGAGATTGGTATGTAGGCCAAAATATGAATCGATCGATTGGTGTTTTAATTTTTGTAAATAAACAATAGAAGTTGAAATTGGAATCTGTTAATTTTCAGGTTTTTTAATTTAAATCATTTTTTCAAAAAATAAATTTTTTGGCTTAATAAACGTAAGTATGAAAATGCTTTGTTTTTGAAATTAGAGTTGCCCCGTAGCACGCCTATGGAAATTTTGAATATACCTTAATAAGTTTAAAAGATATCTACACATAAACAAATATAAACATATGTTTATTAATCAAAATAATTATATTTGGATGTCCCTAAAAGTTTATATACCTATATTTTTGGCAATATTTAAAAATATTTAGGATAGAGGACTTTTTCTACCACTAGATTTCTAAATATTTTCTCGCAATAAAAATTATTTAAAGTTGTAGTAAATGAAGGTCTCAAAAACTAGTGTCCTAGTTTTTGTGACAGTATCTGTACTTATATTTGGAATGAATTAAAAAATAATGATCACAAAAGGTTTGTGGTCTGATCGTTCGTTAAAATCTTTTTAGTATTCGTCGCAAATTTTCATTTTTGAATATTTTGTGTTGAAGAATGTTTTGGTTTTAAATAAACATATCAGAGCGATCATTTATGAGTTTTATAGAATCTCATGATATGATGTATGATTGTAGAGCTCTTTAATGCAGTAGTTAAGGCCCCCAAATCGATGATGAAGGATTAACAATGTTTTCTTATCTACAGGGTGTCCCAGAATATGTGGGCAATCTCCCGGATTTAGATAGAACACATAAAAATAACATGACAGGTTTTTATAATTGGTTTTCCTACGACCCCCCTTTTCGGAGATATATGTTTCCATAATGGACACCCCTGAACAATTATTTTTTAAATAATTTTCAAAGCCCTTGGTATAATTTAATAATTATTAAATACGATGGATATTAGATAAGTCTCCGTAAAATTTTAAATACATTTGACTTATTTAGTTTACCAGGACGAACTAGAGCTTTAATACAATAATACTAATATTTTTTACACCCTGTAGAATAAAGACGCCATAATAATATTTTTGGACAGCTTAAACCTTAAACTAATAAAAAGGTACTCCTGATCAATTTCGATAAAATGACTTGGTTTTGTTTAAAATGGTTTTTTGCATTGGTTATCACTGATAAAAAATATTTTTTGTTGCTATTGTTTTTTGACATGTACCGATTTAATTAAGAATAATTTAGGGCAGTGTGCTAGTGTCAGTTGACAATAGTGTGTTTTAATGTATGGGCTTGCATCTTGTAATGCCTTGGAGACCAGAAGGCTTTATGAAGAACGATTTCCAAATGGAAGCATTCCTGCCTTTGAGAGAGATATTTAAAAAAATACGACGTTATATTTGTTACTTGCAGGGCCGACGAGAGGGAGGGGGGGGGGGTAGCCAGGACAAATTCCCGGGGCCCGGCAACTTTAGGTGATGACGTTTTTTATTTTTTTTTTTAGAAGTTCGCCACAAGAGCACAAAAGCACAAAAGCACAAAAGCAAAAAAGCGCAAAAGCGCAAAAGCACAAAAGCACAAAATCACAAAAGCACAAAAGCACAAAAGCACAAAAGCACAAGAGAGAGAAGAGAAAGGACCTTCTAAAGAGGAGGAGAATTTTTTGCTTGAAGACCTTTTTTTGAGATTTCTCTAAAGAAGAGAAGGTTTTGCTTGAAGGCCTTTTTTTTAGAAATGTGATATTGAAACGGCTTAATTTTTTTATAAAATTGTCCCGGTGCCCGACCTGGCTCTCGGCGGTCCTGCACTTACCGAATAATGTAGAGTACCGGAAATAATTTTAGGAAAGTTTGGCGAAGCCAGTCACAAATGCGGAATTCAAATGAGCGGTGAGGGGATCGAAAAAAATATTTTAAATGCCGAAGATGATCTTCTACAAGTGTCCGAAAATTGGCTGCCCAGTTTGATTGTCTAAAATCGACGGTCTCTAAAATCCTTATAGAGAGCAACAATAGAGGACTTCTATACAAGGGAAGTGCAACCAACTTGACAAAATAAAATTGACACTAATGACATAAGAAATCGGGTCACATAAAGAGGCTGTTTTTTAGTTTGATTTTTGGTTTTTCCTATCTACTTTCATGCCATTTGCATACCTTGTTGTACCCGTAACGTGAAAAAGACTTTTTATTTTAGGGTATTTTACATTTAAAGGTTGAAAACGTTTGTCAATATCAGCTGTCGATAATGTCAAAACATAAGCGTAGCATTGCATTTTATTTTTTGTTGTTATTAGTCTAATTGTGTTTCTCCTGCTTTCTCGAAACATTATTTTTCATTTGGTTTTATTTATTTATGTCGATTGCAAAATGCTGCTCTGCTACGAATACAAGTTCTATAAAATATACAACCAACATACAATACTAGTTACTTATGCCCATCTATGGTTACGCCTGTGTTCTATCATCAACATAATTGACAGCTGACAATGACAAAATATTTCAACCTTTAAATGTAAAATACCCTAAACTAAATAGTCTTTTTCACGTTACGGGTAGAACAAGGTATGCAAATGGCATGAAAGTAGATAGGAAAAAACTAAAAATCAAACTAAAAAACAGTCTCTTTATGTGACCCGATTTCTTATGTCATTAGTGTCAATTTTATTTTGTCAAGTTGGTTGCCCTTCCCTTGTATAGAAGTCCTCTATTGTATCAATTTCACCTTCAAAAAGTCGTTTGGACTTTCCGCGAAGGATAGAATATTCTAACTAGATTTTAGATCGGCACAGAAACGATGCAAATTTTTGCGTTTAGTTCTGTTTACGAACGAAGCTGGATTTTCTAAACGGGGCATCATAAACTCCCATAATTTGTATTTATATGGGCAGAGGAAAACCCGCGCATGCTTTTATGGTAGTGCATCATCAGCATCAATTTGAACCCGTCAACGTGTGGACCAGAATCATTGGGCAACATTTGATTGGGCCATTTTTATTGCTGGAGAACTTTATTTGGAATTTCTTCAAAACAGTTTTCAAGAACTTTTAGAAGATTTATCTTTGGCAAATACGACGTGATACGTTCATACGTTCATGCATGATGGGCCCCCAGTACATTTTAGTCAGGTAGTTCGAGAATACTTAAACGGGAAAGAGGAGGACCAGTGCCTTGCCTCCTCGTTCACCTGACCTAAAATTCCTTAGATCTCTTTTTGTAAGAATATTTAAAAAAATGTAGTCTATGCCAATCGACCTAATAATACAGAAACATTATTATAAATAAGGAACAATGTTGGGATATTGTGGAGGGTACAGCAACTAGAACTATAGAATTCATACAATTATAAGGTGCTCATTTTGAACCGGTAAATAAAATTATTCAATAAAAACCGTCAAAAACTATAGCAACAAAAAATATTTTTTATCAGTGACAACTAGTGATGCCGCGAGATAAAAGATTCTCGTCTCCCGTCTCGAAACAGATTTGGAGAATAAATTTAACTACTTTTAGCCCCATAGGAAATTTTATAGATTACTCACCCTATATAAATAGCTTTTTACGTGGTCAGTAGGTAATTTGGGTCAAGTAATTTTTTTTGCTATTTTTGCTATTAAAAAATATGTTTAAAATGCATCGCCTAAAAATTAAAAATGAATATTTATAACCATTTCTGTTTTTCTAAGGTTAGTTTTGGAGATAATTAGAAAAACTGTCAAAGAAAAGGTAATACAAACGAACGTATTATATACAGTGGGACGTAAATTGTGCCCCCCCCCCCCTCTTTAACTTCTAAATGGAAGAATATAATGAAAAAACAATAACGAGGAAAACTAGAGAGATATTATGATATTTTGTTACAACGAGATGCACTTTACTTGAGAAGTAAGAAGAGGGCGTTATTAGTTTTGAATTTTCTAATAGAAAGTAGGGTCATGTGATACCTCATTTAAAAAATATTTTAATTATTTTTACGTTCATGCAATCTGTCTCTGTATCTGTAACGTGTGGAGGGTGGGTTACCCCTACGGCACTTAGGCCTCATAAGGCCCATTTTGCATCCTCCTAAGATCATAGGCACCTCCTAGCTCGTGAGCCAGCCTACAGATTTAATGTAGTTGACAACGTCGCCAAAAGGTGCTTCTCTTATATCGGCCGGTGTTAGCCGATACTCGCCAAACACAAATCTTCTAATAAATGAGAGCGTCGAGCAATCGTAAAGAATATGGTCGATGGCCTCATCTTCTTGTTCGCACTCTCTGCAGAGTGCGGATTCTGACAGCCCCATGATATGGAGATGCTTCGGTACTTAGTAATGACCAGTCAGAATGCCTGTGACCAGGCGCAGATTCTGTCTAGTCATAGTCAAGTATTTGTTTGTTGCAGTGTTGTCAGGATAACTTAAGAGCTCCTTGGCAACTCTGCAGTTTCTTGTTTCATCCCATCTTTCCTTGAATTTCACAAGGGAATGTTCTTTAATTAGGTCTGTTACTACCGATTTTGTCAGACCAATAGAAGAGCTAGATCCAAAAAGTATTTGGTTGGCTGCTTTCTTGGCTGGTGAATCAGCAAGACGGTTACCTTTCGATGTGGCGTGACCTTTGATCCATCTTAAGGTGACCACATTGTTGGTGGATACTTCGGCCGAAGCTTCGTGACATTCTAGTACTAACCCTGAATAAATTCGTGGTTGGTTCAGGGTGAGTAGTGCTTGTCTGCTATCTGTATAGATGAGCATGTTCCTTCCAGTGATATTGTTTCTGGTTATTTCTTTTGCTGCTATGAGAATTCCCGTTAGCTCTGTTTGAACTACACTGGCACTATTGCTCACAGCCCATTTTATGTTTAGGTTTTAGAATCTGGAGTATATTCCGCATCCTGAGCCTTGTTTTGTTTCAGAACCGTCGGTGTAGATATAAATAGTACCTGCCA